TGTAAAGGCTTATTTGTATTTATTTATTTATTTATGAGACAGAGTCTCGCTCTGTTGCCCGGGCTAGAGGGCAGAGGTGTGATCTTGGCTCACTGCAACCTCTGCCTCCTGGGTTCAAGTGACTCTCCTGCCTCAGCCTCCTGAGTAGCTGGGATTACAGGCACGTGCCGTCGCTCTTGGCTAATTTTTGTATTTTTAGCAGAGATGGGGTTTCTCCATGTTGGCCAGGCTGGTCTCAAACTCCTGACCTCGTGATCTACCCGCCTCAGCCTCACAAAGTGCTGGGATTACAGGCGTGAGCCACTGCATCCGGCCCATGTATTTTTATGTTTTTGAGACAGGGTCTCACGCTGTCACCAAGTTAGAGTGAGTAGCACGATCACTGCTCACCGTAGCCCCAACCTCCCAGTCTCTCAAGTAACTGGAATTACAGGCATGCACCACCATGCCCAGGTAATTTTTGTATTTTTTGTAGAGATGGATTTTCACCATGTTGCCTAGGTTGGTTTCAAACTCCTGGGCTCAAGCAATCTTTCCACGTCAGCCTCACAAAGTGTTGGGATTACCAGTGTGACCCTACTGTGCCTGGCCAAAGTTTACTTTAGACCCTCAGTCTATGTCTATCCTTATGCCAGTTTCATATTGTCTTACTTATAGTAGTTTTATTCTTTCAAGATGGTTTTGGCTACACTGGGTCCCTTGTGTTTCCATATAAACTTTAGGATCAGTGTGTGAATCTTCTTAACTTGGAGTAGATGCTACAGAAGATTCCCAGGCCAGGTGTGGTGGCTCATGCCTGTAATCTCAGCACTTTGGGAGGCTGAGGCGGGTGGATCATGAGGTCAGGAGTTCAAGACCAGCCTGGCCAATGTGGTGAAACCCTTCCTGTCTCTACTAAAGATACAAAAAATTAGCTGGGTGTGGTGGTGGGTGCCTGTAGTCCCAGCTACTCTGGAGGCTGAGGCAAGAGAATAGCTTGAACCCAGGAGGTGGAGGTTTCAGTGAGCCAAGACTGCACCAATGCACTCCATCCAGCCTGGGTGACAGGGCGAGACTCCATCTCAAAAAAAAAAAAAAAAAAATTCCCCATAGTGAACAGAGGACCAAAATTACCAGACATGGTGAAGGAAAAATGAGGGAATCAGGCAGGCCATTTATTGGTAGTAGGTATATTTTGAAAATTTCCTAAAGAGTTGTTACTTCTGGGGGTGAGGGCACTCCCGACTGGCATGCAGGCCTCAGTTTCCAAATACTTCAGTCAAAAGATTGGATTTAGAGGATTAGAATTCCAAGAAAACCAAGGGTTAGGGAAGGGGCAGCAGGGGCAGGGCTCCAGACTGCTCTATGTAGACCAGGCCCTGGAGGAGAGTTGGAGGTTACGTGTTGCTTCCACATTGACCTAAAGCAATGGAGACTGGCTTAAACTCTTACTGCTATGCAATCCTTCCGAGATTTAAAGGACCAGTGTTCTCTGTTTTAGATGAGGGCTCTCACAGAACTGACTAGGGAGGCCCATTCAATGGCTTAGGCCCAAAGTCCTTTTGGTTGTACACATGAGTTGCTGTGCTCACAAGTAGGTGTATAGCAACGGGTTACATACACGAGCTTTGCTGTCAGGGCTGGCATTGAAATCTGAGTCTTACTATTTTTATCTGAGCAAACCTGATTGTTTCTTATCCTCTGAATATCAGTTTTTATTTCTGTTTTTGAGACAGGGTCTCACTCTGTTGTCCAGGCTGGAGTACAGTGGTGTGATCACAGCTTCCTGCAGCCTCGACCTGGGCTCTGAGTATCAGTTATTTCTACACACCTTGTAGTGTTTTGTGGCGGGGGGTGGGCGACATAGGATAATGCAGCATGAGCCTTGGCACAGTGCCTGGTTCAGTGAGTGGAAGATGCTGTTTTAGACAGACACCTGAGCTTCCCAGAAAGCTTTCAGACTCTCTTGAGGATGCTGTATGCCATGGGATATTCCTTGGAACCAAGGCACTCATATCAGCATCATATGTAATGCAAAATAACTAAGTATAAATGTCTGGCCATCCCCTCATATTCCAAGAGTCTTCTGTTTGTTTGCACTGTGTGGCCATGAGGCCTTTGTTCTGCTGTGATGTTGTTAGTACTTGGGGTAGGTGCCAGGGCAAGAAACTCAGTACTTTGACTTAAAAAAAGGGGAGGAGAACAGGGAAGAAGAGGAAAGCTTGGCAGTAGGAAAGTGTGGGGAGGGGAATACTGACAGCGAGTTGGACTGACCCTGGAAGAAGTAGAAGTCTTGTATCGAGATGTTGAAAGAAATATTTACAGGAGGTTTTGCCTTGTCATAGGTGGGGTTGTCTTCTTTCATATCCACAAGAAATCTTCAGTAAAGGTCTGTACTCTACTTCATGGCTTTTCAAGTAGGTTTTTGCTTTAAGAAAGTGTTCTGGATGCATAGAGATGTTGAGATAGGACGGTAAAGCAAGTAGAGTGGCTCACTAATGCCTGAATCTTTTACTTTTTTCTTTTTATTCATTCATTCATTCATTCATTCTTTATTTATTTATACATTTTACTTTAATTTTTTTTTTTTTTTTTTTTTTGAGATGGAGTTTCGCTCTTGTTACCCAGACTGGAGTGCAATGGCACGATCTCAGCTCACCGCAACCTCCGCCTCCTGGGTTCAGGCAATTCTCCTGCCTCAGCCTCCCCAGCAGCTGGGATTACAGGCACGCGCCACCATGCCCAGCTAATTTTTTGTATTTTTAGTAGAGACGGGGTTTCACCATGTTGACCAGGATGGTCTCGACCTCTTGACCTCGTGATCCACCCGCCTCGGCCTCCCAAAGTGCTGGGATTACAGGCGTGAGCCACCTCGCCCGGCCCTAAAAATTTTTAAATTTTTTTAGATACTGGGTTTCACCATGTTGGCCAGGCTGGTCTTAAACTCCTGACCTCAAGTGATCCACCTGCCTAGGCCTCCCAAAATGCTGGGATTACAGGTGTGAGCCACCGCGCCCAGCCACCTGAATCTTTTTCCTACCTATATCTGATGTGATTCCTTCACACGAACCTCCTGCTGGATCTGCAGAGCTGGAAGGGGAATTTGATGGTGGGTGCTTTGGGTGGGGAGGGTGCTGTGGGAGCGATGGGTACAGGCTGGTAACAACCAGCTCCTGCAAGACACAATCTCCATCCAGGACTATGTTTCCGGGTTCCTCTTCCTCATGGCTTGAATCAAGAGTGAAACATAAGGAAAGGGATCGATGACTTAACTCACCGTGAACTCAGGACTAAGCACCAATCCTGTTGAAATGCTTTGCATGTATAATTTCTTTCCCCTTTCCAGCTGGATGGTCCATTGGCACCCATCACTTTTCTGCCATCTTCTGTTTTTCCTAAGCTAGAAATCTGGGATCTATCTATCTTAGATCTATAGATAGGCGATCTATAGTAATACCGGCTTGTCATACTAGGCCCTTACTACTCCTCTAGCAAGAGTGGGCAGGCGTGTGGTCTTGAACAAACATGAGTACCATGAGTATCCTTGGTGGTCTCAGACATTCCCCTGTGACCCTATGCTGCAGGCAGGCCTGGGGGCTCAGTGCACAGCTACCAGCCTAGATTCTGGGGCTGTGAAGGCCTGCTGGGCACTGGGTTTTACTGGGGGTGGTGCTGAGGTCCATGGTTGGATCTGGGACTCGCTTCCGTCTCTTCCCCCAATGCAGAGGGTGTTTTGATGTGTGCTGTGCTGCCTGTGGCTGAGGGAGGGGTCACCACAGGTCACGTGAACATGTCTTCCCTGCCCTCTCCAATCCATCTTATTAATATTTGCGTGCTCTACCCAGATGCTGTCATCTCACATGGCTTTCTAAGCTCTTAGGGTATTTTCATGCATGGATAGTTGTTTAAGATGTTTCTGTGGGAGGACAAGCACTGAAAGTCCTATTCCAGCACCTTGCAGCTGTCCTGTTCCAGCACGCTGCATGTAGAAACTCAACGAATCCTGTTACTATCTCTACCTCAACCAGGGAACCGAGGCAAAGGTCAGTTAAGTTGCCAACACCACAAAGCTGTTCAAAGTCTGAAGCCAGACAGTCTGGCTCCAGAACAAGGTACATAGAAAGACTTGGCTTGAGCCTGAGTGTCCATTGACAACCCCTCAAAAACTTGATGTATAACTCAGGCAAGTCAGAATGTCTCTGGACCCCATTTTCCTAGTCCAGCAAATGAGAGTGGCCCAGATGACTTGTAAGCTGCTTTCCCACAGCCGACCCATTCAACTGTGGCTATTCCTTAAGAATACCGGGTGATTGCTTCACTGTCACCCATCATACTGTCTTCAATCCCATCTCTGCCACTAGCCCTGCCATTCCCTTCCCTGCCCCCAACTGCCTGAGCTGCTACTCTGTGACCTTGTTAGATAATCTCGTATATCAGTGTCCACATCTGCACTATCAGAGAAATACTTGTCCCCTAGAGATCCTAGCTCTTCTGTTCTGCTAGAATTTCACAGGACAAGATGGCTGAAAATAGAGGCGATCACCTGCAGCATGGACATCTTGAGTACACAGATTTAAAAAAATTTTTTTTCTAGAGACAGGGTCTTGCTGTCATCCAGGCTGGAGTGCAGTGGTGTGATCTTGGCTCACTGCAGCCTCTGCCACCAGATTCAAGCAGCCAGGACTATAGGTGTGCAGTATCACAAGAAGCTAATTTTTTTATTTTCAGTAGAGACAGGGTTTCACCATGTTGGCCAGGCTGGTCTCAAACTCTTGGCCTCAAGTGATCCACCTGTGTTGGCCTTCCAAAGTGCAGGGATTACAGGTGTGAGCCACAGCACTCAGCCTGAGTATATACAGATTCTGTTGACATATTTGAAAAAATGACTTTGGGCCTGGATTTCTTCGGTTAACTCTCCTATTCTCCCAGAATCTGGGCATCACTTATTGTCAAGAAGGCATCCCCAGAAGCTCAGGAGAATCTTTCAGCTTAAACATGGAGAGAAGACAAGAAAACATCCATGGCCATTAGAAATGCTTTTATTTATAAAAGAACTACTTAAATATAAACACCTCTAAGTAGAAACACTCTTCACAAAAGGACTCGCGTTACTGCCTTCTGACCGTGACCAGCAGAGACACTGTGGATGTAAGGACTCCATGGTGTCTCCCCAGATTCCCAGGATTTAAGGCTAAATGTGCACTCGGAGTGGCAGGGGCTGTAAGGCTATTCTTTCTTCCCTTTCTTTTAAAAGACAAAACTCATGGTTTCCCATTCCAAGATAAGCTTCGTAGCTGGGGAAGATCTTAAGATTCTTGGTCTAAGGGGTAGCAAATATCTTCCTGAGACTGGGAGGTATGATCAGGCACTTGGGAATCTGGCTTTGAATGTCATCTCTGAAGCATAGAAGTTAGTGGTGAAAAAGAAAATCTCATTTCCAAGTCTAGGATAAGCTACTTCTGGAACGCCTTATCCCAATTCAAATAAGTCACATGTGTTCCGTTGTCTGCATCTACAGATATAACTAAACAGTCGTAGGGTGCTTGGATGAAGGAGAAAGACATCCAGTTTTTCACTGGGCTCAACTGGTTTCAGCTCAAGGCAGAAGTAATACTTTTAATGGAATGGCTGGAGCTCTCATACTGTTACTCTAGGAAAATCTATTGGTTATCGAGCCCAGGGCAGGGGGCCACAGACATTACACACAGACTATGTAAAGAAAAGATGGCCATCAGAAAGGTGTCACTGAGGCTGGGGTGTGATGGCTCATGCCTGTAATCCCAGCAGGGAGGTGGAGGCCCAAGGGTTGCGTGAGCCCAGGAGTTCAAGACCAGCCTGGGCAACATAGCAAGACTCCATCTCAGAAAGTGTCAGTGATTGTATCTAACAAGGGAAGAGAATCTTTCAGATGAAGGGTCAACAGAAAAGAAAGACCCTAAACACTTCTAAAAGTAGAAGGCAGTTGAATTTTGCATAACCAATCTGGGAATAGAGTGAAAAACAATATTACAGAAGGTAGTGTTGAAATTAGGGGGAGCACGTATATGAGACCGTATGCTAGGCACTGGAGGTGTCCCAGGAGCTTTGAAGCACTAAGTTTGGTTCAATCCCAACAAACTCCTGGCCACGTGCAAGCACTGCCTCGTGGGGTGCCCAGAGCCATTAATTCTTCTCTTCATCTGAGTTGCTGTCTGAGCATGGAACATGGGGCCACCCCAAACGCAGTACAGCATAACCAATGCCAACATTGTCTATTGTCTATTGTTAGAGCACAGCTTCCTGCATAGACAGGTCACTGGGCTTCTGCTTGCAAGTTTCTCCTTTCCAAAGGCCAGCTCCAGAACTTGTCTCTCTTCTCACGGTCACTAAGTCATCTGCAAAGCCCCAGGGTCCATTTCAAATTCTAGAGATTCTAGTGAGCATCAAGGTTAACAACCCAATCGAGGAGAACGAGATCCGTGGTGTACTCCACCATGCCACAGTTAAGCAACGCAGACAGGGCCTGTGTCTCAGGAGCAGGCGCCCTCTTGGTGGGCCGCCAGAACCCTCGGCAGACTGAAAGCAGTAAGGCTGGGTGGCGGGCAGCGTGGGCTCAGGTGTACTCGGTTTTGCGGATATAATTGGATGGAACGTAGCCCTTCTTCCCGTTAACCTCAGCTAACCACCACTCTGTATTTCCTGTAACATCTTTAAACTCGAGGATCTTGAGTTTCTGATTGGCTGACACGCTCAGCTCATTTGGGTTTCGTGCCTTGAAGGTGTAGACAGCAAAATAGACCTGTGTGAGGGAGAGAGAGAAAATGGGAAATTGCTGGGAGCAACGCCATCCAAGAGAACTTCATGCAGTGAAGGGGAGGGTCCCACATCCACATGCCCACATGTGGCTGCTGAGCCCCTGAAATACAGCTAATGAGACAGAAGAACTCAATTTTTCATCTTAATTTTAACGAACATTAAATAGGTACATATGGATGATGGCTACCATAATAAGGATGATTTAAAGAAAACATCAATTTGGGAGGCGAAGGTGAGCAGACCAGATGGCCAACATGGTAAAACCCCATTTATACCAAAAATAGTTGGGCTTGGTGGTACCTGTGATTCTCAGCCACTCCAGGGACTGAGGAAGGAGAATTGCCTGAACCCAGGAGGCAGAGGTTGCAGTGAGCCAAGACAGCACTACTGCATTCCAGCCTGAGGAACAGAACAAGACTCTACTTATTTAAAAAAAAAAAAAAAATTCAGCCAGGTGCGGTGGCTCATGTCTGTAATCCCAGCACTTTGGGAGGCTGAGGTGGGTGGATCACCTGAGGTGGGGAGTTCAAGACCAGCCTGGCCAACATGGAGAAACCCCATCTCTACTAAAAACACAAAATTAGCCGGGTGTGGTGGTGCATGCTTGTGATCCCAGCTACTCTGGAGGCTGAGGCAGGAGAATTACTTGAACCTACAAGGCAGAGGTGGTAGTGAGCCAAGATTACTGCATTGCACTCTAGCCTGGACAACAAGAGCAAAATCCATCTAAAAAAAAAAAAAAATTCATACCTTTTCAATCTTTCAGAGTTGCTTTAAAGGGTAGGAGATGAGCATACCCTTCCATACCTCAAACACAAATTCTGAATTGAAAAATCCCAGAAACCACAGCCAACTTCAAAGAAAGAAAGGTTGATCTCTAGGTGCCACAAACGTCTAATGCCCAGCAAAGGGAGGGGCTCAGGGATTAGGAGGAGAAGCCATGAGGCCCACGGGGGCCCAAGGAGGGACACACATTCAGGGCCAGAGCTTTAGGACCTGGTCAGGGACAGGAGCTAATGAGACTACAACTACATTCTCTGCTCAAAGTCAGAATCTAAGAAAGGTCCTTTTCTCCCCCCTTGATGTTTATAAAATAACTGTCCACTTGGTAGGCCCAGAATGGAGATATTTGACCCAGGCCATGAGTAGTAAGAGAAATCGCCAGAAAAACAAGCATGCACGAAGCTCGGCCGTGGCACTGAGGAATGTGCTGTGGGAAGCTTGAACTGAGAAAGTGGGTAAAAACCAGCCTCTGAATCCAGACACTGGTAGAGGCAGCACCTCTACAACCCAGGATGCAACTGGGACTTCTCATGAGGGCAAATCCTGCTGGAGATGAGCTCACAGACAAACTTGACCATCAACACAGGAAGACGCTCAGCTGAAGAGCGAGCAAAGGCAACAAAAGGTGAAGTGGACTCTGCAGCTATGAATCTGAAAGTGGCTTTAAAGCATGCAGGTTTAAAATGTTCACGATACGGCCAGGTGTGGTGGCTCACAGTGGGAATCCCAGCACAATGGAGAGGCCACGGTGGGGATCAGGAGGTCAGGTAGGTGATCAAGACCATCCTGGCGAACATGGTGAAACCTCATCTCTACTAAATAGTCTCAGCTACTAGGGAGGCTGATGCAAGAAAATTTTTTTTCCCAGACGGAGTCTTACTCTGTTGCCAGGCTGAAGTGCAGTAGCGCGATCTCAGCTCACTGCAACCACCTCCTCGCAGGTTCAGCTGATTCTCCTGCCTCAGCCTCCCAAATAGCTGGGACTACAGGTGCATGCCACCACACCCGGCTAATTTTTTTTTGTATTTTAGTGGAGACGGGGTTTCACCACATCAGCCAGGATGGTCTCCATAACCTGACCTTGTGATCCTCCTGCCTCAGCCTCCCAAAGTGCTGGGATTACAGCTGTGAGCCACCATGCCCGGCCACTTAGGAGAATTTCTTGAACCGAGGAGGCAGAGGTTGCAGTGAGCCAAGGTAGTCTGTCCCTGGGCGACAGAGAGCAGGACTCCGTCTCAAAAAAAAAAAAAAAAAAAAAAACCCCAAATGTTCAAGATACAAAGACTACAAATTTATAAACAGGACCAGGCCATTACAAAGAGAACAGGAAAAACTGGGGCTGGGGCATGGTGGTTCACATCTGTAATCCCAGGACTTTGGGAGGCCAAGGTGGGCAGATCACTTTTGAGGCCAGCAGTTCAAGACCAGCCTGGTCAACGTGGTGAAGCCCCTGTCTCTACTGAAAATACAAAAATTAGCCCTATGTGTTGGTGCATACCTGAAAGCCCAGCTCCTCAAGAGGCTGAGGTTGCAGTGAGCTGAGATCTTGTCACTGCACTCCAGCCTGGGCAACAGACTCCATCTCAAAAAGAAAAACTGAAACGGGCAGAATTTCATTTCTAAATTCCAGAAATAAAAATACAGTTACTTGAATCAAAAACCAAACAGGTGGAGTAAACAGATGTTATACAATTGAAGAATTAGTGAACTGGAAGGGTAATAGTTTTCATTATGTCACCTTTTAAACGCCTGGCGACACAGAGGGGTAGCCAGGGAAGGTGCTCAGAGGCTCTGCCGTCAGATTCCTTGAAATTGCTTGTGCTGCGAGCTCATCTCAGGTCACCCTAGGCCTCAGGCAAGCCGCTTCTGCCTCACTCCTGCCTGTACCCACAACACATCTGCTGCCACGTGGGCCATGGTGGCAGGCCAGTGTGCACTCACCTGGTTGCCTTCTGCATCACTGCTTTCTGGCTCTGGACTTCTGTCTTCAGGAGCCTGGGCTGCTCTTGCACCTCCTTTTATGAGGTCTTGACCTTGCCCATTTCGTCCTGGTACAGAGTAGCCAACCGTTTCTGGATGCCTGAAGTTCCGGTGGCTCCTCGGGGTGGCAGCGGGTTGGTTTACATCTCTAGCTACATCTGCAGAGTCCCCTGACCTTGGCTGGGAAGTAGAGTCTGGGTCTGAAGGGCATCTAGAAGGACCACTCTCTGAATTACCCAGATTCAGGGATGCACCGAGAGTCCCTTGGTCACATTCCTTCAGTGGAGATGCATCTTGAGGCTGCCTCGGGCAAGCACCTGAGGTAAAGGACACAGTCATGCTGCTGGGGTTGAAGGTCAGGCTGCTGCTGCTGTTCTGGCGTGGGAACCTGGGGGAGGAGCTGCCGTGTTCAGACTCTGTGGAGGAGTGGCTGCCCACGGAGGCATCGGAGTGGCTGCGGCGAGGATTGTAGGGCTTTAGGAAGGAGCTGTACACAAAGCCTTTGGTGACTACAAAGGAAACAGGAAATACAAACAAGATCTCTTAGCAGAAGGATGGACAGACGGAGGGAGCAGGGAATCGAGAGAAAAAGCTGGTCTAAAAGCTAGGCCATTCATCTGTAAAATGAAGAGAGTAAAACAAAAACTTAAAAGCCAGGCCAATAGTGAGACACACAAAATACGATGCCTAGTGCCAAAGTATCTCGGAATACTCAGTCCCAGGATGTGATGTGTGTAGGTAGAGATGAAGGGCTGCAGCTGCCTACCAGTTCGTTCATGTCATAACCTCACGGCAGATGCGTGCCCAGGAGGCCCACGGCCAGCCAAGAAGACGATAATGAAAACAACCATAGGTGTGGGAATGCGCATGGGAAGAGAATGTCATAGGACACCTAGATCGTGCCTAAGAGGAAGACTTCACTAAGCCTATGTGCAAATATACCAAGCGTGGACAAGAGTTAAGAACCAGCCTCGGCCGGGTGCAAGGGCTGTAATCCCAGCTCTTTGGGAAGCTGAGATGGGAGGATCTTTTGAGTCCAGTTCCCTGGTCAACACAGCGAGACCCCATCACTATTAAAAGGTCAGATGCAGTGGCTCATGCCTGTAATCCCAGCACTTTGGGAGGCTGAGGTGAGTGGATCATTGAAGGTCAAGAGTTCAAGGCCAGCTTGGCCAACGTGGTGAAACCCTGTCTCTACTAAAAAAAAGAAAAAAAAAAATTAGCCAGGCATAGTGGTGGTCGCCTGTAATCCCAGCTACTTGGGAGGCTGTGACAGGAGAGTTGCTTGAACCCAGGAGCTGGAGGTTGCAGTGAGTTGAGACATACCATTACATTCCAACCTGGGCACCAAGAATGAAACTCCATCTCAAAAAAAGTCTCAGCTCAAGAAACCCCTCCATAGGCCTCCCTGCCTTCTTTCCCTCCAGGACACTTGAATCCTTTGCTCTGGGAGTCTGGATATACTGGGAGGATGTTCTAACGTAGGAAGCAGTTTATGTTAGACTATACATGTAACATGTACTGCACATGTTCATGTTTATAAATTGCCCAAGATGATGACCAAGGGGGCTTTCAGCTAAAACTTAAGCATAAATTAGGGATTGCGTGAGGATTCACGACAAGTTTTCATAACAGTGTCAAGGCACAGAGCCAGAGTATGTAGCCTCCATGAGAACAAGGGCCATCACTCTCTTGATCTTTGATGCATTTCTTGTACCTGAAAAGACACACACAGCAGACCCTCCACAGACATCTGCTGTATGAATGGAGAAAAGCCCTGGGGACACCGGAAGGGGAGAGGGTTGAACAGCTGATCTGAATACTGTGGGCTTCTTGCTACCACTTCTTAAGTTTGAGTAGATAAAAACCAAAGAATGGAGCACTTTCTTGAACAGCTTGGACCTTTACAGGGGTCCATCTGTCTCTGACCCCATCAGCAGCTGTCACCTGATGTCACCCTAATAGGCTCCATCCTCTGTCCTTCCTTTCCTACTTCTAATATCTTGTTCTGGATAAGCAGAAGTGGGGAGAGAAAATTCACAAGATGCTTTTAAAGAAACCAAGAAGTGTGACATTTTTCAGTTCTGGGTGGCAAGTACCTAGAGGTCTATTGCATGGGACCACAATCCCTATCTAAAACGTGTAGGGCCAGACATGTTTTGGAATTCAGATTCTTTTAATTCTGGGAAGGTAGTCAAGTACCTGTACTACATAGTTTGTAAAACCCCCCAGCAGAGTCAGCACCCTATAATTAATTCTGTTAATAATATTCAGAATGAGATCCTGTGATTTGCAGCCACATGGTTGAACCGGGAGGACATTTTGTTAAGTGAAATGAGCCAGGTACAGAAACACAAATACCATATAATCTCATAGAAGTCGGCAGTAGAATGCTAGTTACCAGAGGCTGCGGTGGTGGAGAGGGAGGTCTGGCTATGGGGGAGGTAAGAATAGGGAGAGGTTCTTCAACAGGTACAAAGTTAGGAGAAGTAAGCTTTGGTGTCCTATTGCACAGTAAGGTGACTATAGCTAATAATGTATATTTTAAGATGGCTAGAAGAGACGATTCTAAATGTTCTCACCATAAAGAAATGACAAGCTTAGGCTGGGCGCAGTGGCTCATGCCTGTAATCCCTACACTTTGGGAGGCCGAGGCAGGCGGATCACAAGGTCAGGAGATCAAGACCATCCTGGCCAACATGTTGAAACCCCATCTCTGCTAAAAATACAAAGATTAGCTGGGCACAGTGGCATGTACCTGTAGTACCAGCTACTCAGGAGGCTGAGGCAGGAGAATCGCTTGAACCTGGGAGGTGGAGGTTGCAGTGAGCCGAGACTGCACCACAGCACTCCAGCCTGGTGACAGAGTGAGACTCCGTCTCAAAAAAAAAAAAAAAAAGAAATAACAAGCTTATAGCCTGGGCAACACAGGGAGACTGTCTGTACTATAAATAAAAAATGAAAAAATAAATAATAAAATTATCTGGGCATGGTGGTGCATGCCTCTGGTCCCAGCTATGCAGGAGGCTGAGGCGGGAGGATTGCTTGAGCCTGGGAGGTGGACGTTACAGTGAGCCAAGATCGCATCAGTGAAATCCAGCCTGGATGACAAAGCTAGACCCTGTCTCAAAAAAAAAAAAAAAAAAAATCACACCATACTACATAGATATGAACAAGTATGTGTCAGTTATAAACAGAATAAAGCCTTAAGTATCTCACATCATTGCAAATGGGAAAGTTCTGATGTTGTGTCATTTATGTTGGAGATGTACTTACCTATCCATGATGTGACCAACCTCTTGGCTGAATCAGATTGCAATCAAGCATTTAAAAAATAAGGCCAGGCACTATGGCTCATGCCTGTAATCCTGGCACTTGGGGAGGTCAAGTTGGGTGGATCACCTGAAGTCAAGAGTTGGAGACCAGCCTGGCCAACATGGTGAAACCCCATCTCTACAATTAGCCTGGTGTGGTAGTATATGCTACTTGCAAGGCTGAGGCAGGAGAATTGCTTGAGCCTGGAGGGCGGAGGTTTCAGTGAGCTGAGATTGTGCCACTGCCCTCTAGCCTGGGCGACAGTGCTAGATCCTGTCTCAAAAAATAATAAAAATGAAAAATATACACACATGACTATTTACACCAAAAGGGGTAAGTTACAATTACAGTCACACATCACCTTTGTTCAGGTTTTCGCAAAAGTGTTCTGAAAAAAAAAAAAAAAATCCTTGTGTTTTAGAGCTGTTTGGATTTTGGAATTGTGGAAAAAGGGATTACAGGTCAGTATTACCCCTTGTAGACTTATTTAAATTCTATAAATCACTCCCCCTCCAAAAAAGCTGTAAGCTGTTTTTAAAGTAATTCCCTAAATAGTCATGAGGTAAAACTGTATAGGGAGAAAAAAAAACCGAAATCCCACAGGTTTTTAATTTCCACAAGACAAATTCACAGAAATTGGAAGAGGTGATAGGCGCAGTGGCACACACCTATAATCTCAGCATTTGGGAGGTCAAGGCAGGAGGATGGCTTGAGCCTAAAGTTAGAGACCAGCCTGGACAACGAGGCAAGGTCTCATATCTACAAAATAATTAAAAAATTAGCGGGGCACGATGGTACATCTGTAGTCCCAGCTAAGCAGGAGGATCCCTTGAACCCTGGAGTTTCAGGTTACAGTAGGCTATGATTGTGCCACTGCACTCCAGCCTGGGTGACTGACAGAGCAAGACTGGCTCAAAAAAAAAAAAAAAAATCTGGAAGAGGGCAGCTTATTTTGTGGCATACTGGGAACAGGCTAAGAAGCAACAGGATTCCTTGAGGCGGGACTTCCTGCCTGTACGTGCTATAAGACATGGAAAGAGCTTGCAAGATAAGCAACGGCGTCTCCTCTGGAATTTGTCAAAACAAAACCAGCTTTTGTTTCAGTGATGATCTTCACTCTCTAGAGAAGGTTAAGGTTATTTTTCCCCTTAATCAAAGCCACTTTTTTTTTTTCTGGCCTAGTCAAGATTTGGGTGTAGCCAAAACTACTTTCTTTTTTAAAAAATAGTTCCATTCACCTGCTGCTTAAGATTCTTACCTCCATTGTCAATCAGCCAGCGGTTCTGACTGCCCATAGGGTCTTTTTTCTTAATCACACCCACCAGGTCACCTTCCAAAAGTGAGACATCCAAGTCTTGGGCAGCATTAAAGTTCCGCTCTGCTTGGAAGAGTTTTTCAGGGGGATACCTGGCCAGGAGGGAGGCCCGGAGTTCTTCTGACTGTAGCATGTAACTTGGCTGAAAGGCAAGAGGAGATATATCAACAAAAATCCCTCAGTGGCCATTACCCCAGCAGCCATATTTAATCCCAACATGCAGCCAGTCTCAGAAATGAGGCAGAAACAGTCGGTCACTGCCCCATCACCCCCATCAGATGTGTTTGTGATGAAGCTAGCCCATGCGGCTAGGTAAAAATCATGAGCCCTTAGGCAATGTTTGATGCCTCCATAGTTAAGAAATTTTAACACACACCTATTCTTATATTTGTTTTCTTGTAACTTGTAATTAAAATGCCACTTTAAAAAAATCAAAATATCTAAGTGACATTAGGTCTTGTATTTTGTTAGCGAAATTCTCAGTTAGGTTCATCTATCTTGAGTTCCCCATCTGTGAAAGCAAGTAAATCATAAGAAAAAATAAAGGTAATGATAAATTCAGGCTGGGTGCAGTGGCTCACACCTGTAATCCCAGCACACTTGACACCAGGAGTTCGAGACTAGTCTGGTAAGCATAGCAAAACCCTGTCTCTACTAAAAATAAAAAATTAGCCAGTCATGGTGATGCATGCCTGTAATCCCAGGTACTCCAGAGGCCGAGGCAGGAGAATCACTCCAACCCAGGAGGTGGAGGTTGCACTGAGCTGAGATGGCACCACTGCACTCCAGCCTGGGTTACAGAGCAAGACTCTCTCAAAAAATAATAATTCAATTCTCCTTTTTAAAATAATATAAATTAATGTCCATGGGATCATATACAGGGCAAAAATATTGTAAGCAAAGACATATCAGCAGTCCTGTAGACTGTGAACCCATATAATCTGGTGTGTGTTATCCTAATTTTTAAAATATAGAAGAACTGAGTTAAAGACTAACTCCACATAAAAAAGGGAGGCAGCCATTAACTGTTTAGCTGTATTACTTTTATGAATACCTGATCAAAAATAGGGAGGTCTGGCCGAATTAATATGCCCTTAAATCAGTTCCCTGAATTAATGAACTAATGAGTTAATACTCGGCGAATGCAGGAGTCCAAGACAGGTGAGAATGCAACCACTATTCTCCATTCATTATGAAATACAGAAACCCCAATAGTGAGATCTGGCCCCGGGACCTGGCTGCAGGGTTCCCACTCTTCACTCCGAGGCTGGGCAGCTCCTCTCAGTTCCCTGCTCACCAGGCCCAGGAGTGGCTTTCGAGCAGACTGGCGTTCAATGGTTTTCCTCTCAAACGGTTTCTTGGTGGCTGGAAGAGACTCCGGGAAGAAGGTGAAAACCTGGAGTTGCTGCAGAACTCTGCTGTGCTCTTCGTGAAAGATGGCAATCAGGTTTCCTTCCCTGCCGGCCACTTTAAGTAACTGGAGTCCGTGGGAGAGCCGAGATAGAGAAAAGAAGAAACACAGATGAAATATCCCAGGGCTGACAGTCTCATTAGAACCACTAGAAGCTGAAGCTCAGCTGCAGCTCACTCTCTGAGCTACCGACACAGTAGCCTGACACAAGACACAAGGCTCTCCGGGGCACTGCCTGCAGGGCCAGGTTGGCTGACTCTTCTGGAAACTGCCTAAGAGGGAAAGAGATGTTTCAGAAGCCACAGGCTTCATGGCACCATCAAGGGATCAAGAATTCCTGGCTGGGCACAGTGGCTTATCCTTGTAACCCCAGCACTTTGGGAGGCCAAGGTGGGAGGATTACGAGGTCAGGAGATCAAGACCAACTTGGCCAACACAGTGAAACCCCATCGCTACTAAAAATACAAAAATTAGCCAGGCATGGTGGCAGGCACCTGTAATCCCAGCTACTCAGGAGGCTGAGGTAGACAATCACTTAAACCCAGGAGGCAGAGGTTGCAGTGAGCTGAGATCATGCCATTGCACTACAGCCTGGGCGACAGAGCTCCACTCTGTCTCAAAAAAAAAAAAAAAAAAAAAAAAAAAAATTCCTGAAAGAACTGAACTAGTGACACATTCAGTTTATGTAGTTCAGATAATGTTTCAAACTATGCTACCATTTTGCCCAGAAAAATACCAGGTGACGGCCATAGATGATTATCCCACTGAAGGAGTAAGAAACTCACTGAAAGCAGTGGCTTTAACTGCTCCAGAGCCTGGTGCACGAAGTCACGGTGGGCTTCGGCATAGCCGTGGACGCAGTTAGTGAAGAGGCCGTGGGCGTACTGGTGGAACTTGGGCAGCTCGTCCAGCAGCTGCGCATTCAGGGCCTCGTAGTTGTTCCGGGCCGACTGCAGCTCCTCCAGGGTCTTCTTGTCCTTTAGCTTCTCTGCCCGTTCTGTACAGTTATAGAAGTCCAGGAGCTTGTCAAAGCGTTTCTGTACCAGCTTATGGGGCCCTGTAAACATGCTCAGTAACTGATTTAAGGGGGAGATGACAAGCCGCTCTGTCCTCTCCTTCTGTAGGGACGAGAAAGGCACGTTGCTTAGTTGGACAGTATCCCACATTTGTGATTAGCCTCTACTTAAATACTCCACCAGACTTCTGACTTGATACTGCAACAATTCCCACACCAAAGAATATGCAAAATATGTGAATCTCACTTGAGCTCCCTGAGTTGATAAATGCTAAGCTGCTCATTGATATGATGTGTGCATTTGAGACTAGACGTGATAGTTTATCTGGTAACATTTATTATGTGTACATGTCTATATAGCTTAAATTTAACTGCAGATTTAGTTGTTATATAAATCTGGAATAGAGTAACATTTATATACTCATAAACCTTTAATCATAACCACGTAATGTCCATTTTTATCTTCCAAAGAATTTTTCTCTTGGCCAGGAACCGGGACTCACACCCGTAATCCTAGCACTTTGAGAGGCCAAGATGGGTGGATCACTTGAGTTCAGAAGTTCAAGACCAGCCTGGTGAAACCCAGACTCTACTAAAAATACAAAAATTAGCTGGGTGTTGTGGCACATGCCTGTAGTCCCAGCTACTCTGGAGGCTGAGGCAGGAGAATTGCTTGAACCTGGGAGGTGGAGGTTGCAGTGAGCCGAGATTACACCATAGCACTCCAGCCTGGGTGACAGAGTGAGATTCTCATCTCAAAAAAAAAAAAAAAAAAATTTTCTCTTTAATTCTAGGGGGCAGATACTAAGGGTAGGCCAATGAATACATAAAGAACATAAGCAGGTGTGTAGTAGCATCTTATTAAAAATAACGGACAATTAGAACACCTGTCAGCTCCCCAGGTGGGCATGTCTTTCACCCTCAGGCCACCCATAGATCCCAAGAAACTATCAAACCCCATTCAGTTTCTTCCACTAGGGATTAAACAATCCGACATATATGGATTTAGAATTTCTCAAGAAATTTGGTCTTTGGTACTTTCTTCATAAAGTAGTTTTTACCATCTCAAATCTCTGGTAACATATTAACTATGTTCCTAAATATTCGTTTTCGAGGTTTCCTGAAGTGGAGTCTCACTCTGTCTCACAGGCTGGAATGCAGTGGTGCGATCTTGGCTCACTGCAACCTCCGCTTCCTGAGTTCAAGCGATTCTCCTGCCTGAGCCTCCTGAGTAGCTGGGATTACAGGTATGTGCCACCACACCTGGCTAATTTTGTATTTTTAATAGCGACGTGGTTTCTTCATGTTGGTCAGGTTGGTCTCAAACTCCCAACCTCAGGTGATCTGCCGCCTCGGCCTCCCAAAGTGCTGGGATTACAGGCATGAGCCACTGCACCTGGCCAGTTGTTTTTATTTGATCAGAGTTAATCTAGTTACCTAGTCTTCCTTTGTCCTCTGTAACTAAATTAATCACAAGCTATTTTTTAAAAAACCTGTTTGTATAGACATAGGTCCTACATTTCCCTCTAACTGAAAGTCATGCTGTGAATATCCAACCCCAATACAAATACAGCTAAAGGATGACCAATGTGCCTGGTGCCCAGGGCCTGTGTCTGTGGAACTGACTTTTGCATGAGCTGATGTATTTGCGTTGACCTCGGGAAGGGGGCCAACTTTTGAAGAAAAGGTTACTTACAAAATTAGTGAAGAGCTGGTCGCTGATGTAGCGATGCACCCTCTCAAACTGCTCGAGGTCTCGGTGTCCTCTCTCCATGCACACATCCCACATGCTCACAGCAGCCACCACCTTCACACACGCCGACTCCTGGAGCAAGTTAGGACAGACACAAGTCAGAACAGACCGAACTTTCCAGCCTTTGTCATCCGTCACCCAGAATAGCAGTCTGGGAAAAATGAGTTCCATAATTTGAAATTTTCTCACTACTTTGGTATTTTAGATTTGAAATAAGCATATTTTCATAAACTATGACTAATGAGGCACAGAGAAAAATCTAAGACTTTTAATTATTAAAAAACTGGTGAGGGCTTTTATCATCTCTTTAGCATTCCCCTATGTCCTTAGTAAGGTTTCCTTTTTTTTGCTTTTTTTGAGATGGCGTTTCATTCTTGTTGTCCAGGCTGGAGTGCAGGGGCGTGATCCTGACTCACTGCAATCTCCACCTCCTGGGTTCAAGTGATTCTCCTGCCTTAGCCTCCCGAGTAGCTGGGATTACAGGTGACTATTATCACACTAACTTTTTGTATTTTTAGTAGAGACAGGGTTTTGCCCTGTTGGCAGGCTGGTCTCAAACTCCCGACCTCAGGTGATCCATCTGCCTCTGACTCCCAAAGTGCTGGGATTACAGGCGTGAGCCACCACACCTAGCCCCAGTAGGGTTTCTTAATTTACTAAGAAGTAAATTATCAAATTAGAACCAAGACGATTCCTATAGTGTTAGGACAATAACCAATCAATCACCTCTCCTTCTTCAAGTCTTGGTTCATGCTGTGACCATCTCAAAGACAATTGCCCTGGTACCCTATTGATCATCACGATCTGGTTTCCCATCCGACTCTGGCATTCCCAATATCTCTTGCTGTGCTGTTTCCTTTCTTTCTTTGTGAAAAATACCCCCTCACATGCACTAGAATTGACTAATGCTTGCTTACTGTCCTGATCTCCCTCACCCACCCTCCTAGTGAAAATGCAAGCTCCATAAAAGCAGAGACTTTTGTCTCTTTTGTTTGCTGACTCTACTGTCACACAGTCAACTGTGTGAGAGTTTGAACCCCAGGTTGGTTTTCCTGGCTTTCTTTTGAGACCAGCCTCATCAACATAGTGAAACCCCATCTCCACAGTGCCAGGCTATAACCCAAACAGACTAAATACTCCATTAGTCTATTTCAAGGGCAAACAAAGTCCCTAAGCAAAAAACATTCTTGCCTCATACAATGGTTTGATACTTTATAACACTTTTAGACCTTTTGTCTTTAATATTTATATCTGTGTGCACATAAAGCCAGTGTTCTGTCAGTAAGCTAACCCAGGGGATGTTGCTAATTCCTCTCGAGCAGGAGATCTAATGTGAAACATGATGTCCTCTTGTTTTCTTTTAAAGGAATGCTGTAAAGTCCCCAAATATCAGCCCATATGCCAACGTAGATGCCAAATTATGCAGTCAATGGCCCTCAGCTTATGTTCTTGCTAGTTTTCTTGCTGTCAGTCAATCTATCTAATTTTATTATTTGGCAGGCTTTCCATTTTGTGGCATGACAAAACTGTTCAACATTTTCTCTCAATTTCTGTCAGCAGTCAGAACCGAACTGATCCTTCCATCAGATGGCTCTCAACGTTACATATATCCCAACCCAAAATGCTATCATCACTCATTGCTATGGAGGTGAGCCTTTAAAGGGGTGGGGGCTCAGGTATACGGTGCCACACTTTAGGAAGCCTGGGGAGAAAATGGCCAATAGAGGGGTATCAGAATGAGAAGGATATTAAGGGAAAGTCCTATGAAGCAGCAAGACAAACATACTCAGTAGTCACCCCAATATTGTGTGGGTTTTTATTTTTTTGAGATGGATTCTCACTCTCACCCAAGCTAGAGTGTAGTGCCACAATCTTGGCTCGCTGCAACTTCCACCTGCTGGGTTCAAGAGATTTCCCTGATAACACGCCTAGCTGATTTTTGTATTTTTAGTAGAGACAGGGTTTCAACATGTTAGCAAGGCTAGTGCTAAATTCCTAACCTCAAGTGCTCTGCCTGCCTCAGTCTCCCAAAGTGCTGGGATTACAGGCGTGAGCCACCACGCCTTGCCTATCTGTTTTGATATAGGGTCTTGCATGTTGCCCAACCTGTCCTCCACCTTCTGGGCTTGAGTGATCCTCCCGCCTCAGCCTCCTGGGGTAGCTGAGACTACAGGTATGTGGCACCATGCCCCAATATTTTTGTCAAATCTCTCACTTTTAGCCAATGTGCTTCTGTAAAATTCTATAAACACTAATTTTTACCTAATTACCTTTTTTTTTTTTTTTTTGAGATGGAGTCTCACTCTGTCACCCAGGCTGGAGTACAGTGGTGCAATCTTGGCTCACTGTAACCTCCGCCTCCTGGGTTCAAGTGATTCTCCTGCCTCAGCCTCTGGAGTATCTGGGACTACAGGAGTGCACCATCATGCCTGGCTAATTTTTGTCTTTTTCAGTAGAGACGAGATTTCACCATATTGGCTAGGCTGGTCTCTAACTCCTGACCTCGTGATCTGACCCCCTTGGCCTCCCGAAGTGTTGGGATTACAGGCGTGAGCCACTGCGACTGGCCTACCTATTTACATTTTTAAAACACAAGGGTGGAAGTTTGCTATTTAAAATAGTGGAAATTACTCAATAAATGATAGACCACTGGGTAACTAGCTGGAAAAATAAACTTGAATCCCTGCTTCAACCTGATTTACTGAAGTCCAGACAGAGAGCAAGGATTTAATCTTAAAACAACAGAATGATAAAAGTACTAAAGCATGAGATTTTTAAATGTTGGAATAGCAAAGTTTCTACATATCACACAAAACTAAGAGGTCACATAATGCACGTTTAAACTCTTTTCCATGGAGAACAAACTCAGAAGTCAACAAACTGAGATCGGGGGAGGATACTGCAAACCGTGTCAGAAAAAAGGACTATTTCCTCTAATAAATACAGAGATCCACAAACTGATAAAGATGCTAGAATATAGGTAAGTCACAGAAAAATATGATGTAAACATATGAAAATATCCTCAACTCCATTCATAATGTAAGAAATGCCAATGTAAACTGCATTGAAATCTTTTTTACCTCTCTTGCAGACAAGGATACAGCCCACTGGTTTTGATAACACTGAGTTAGCAAGCGATATTGCTTGTAGAACTTTTCACTTTTACAGCATCTATGACATTTACCAACAGTTGACAAAATTTATACTGCCATGTGATTTGCCATTTGAGTCAGAAGTACACTGGCCTTCAGACTCACACAGATCAGAAAATGATGTACCTACAAAGATATTCCTTGTATGACCAGTTCTAATCTTTCATAACTACAAACGATTTAAATATCTGCCAATAGGGGATTAGTTAAATGTATTATGACATGTCCACAGAATGCTATACTATGCAATTGTAAAGAACGACGGCCCTCTGCGTGTGGCCACAACATCACTTCTGAGATATAATAAAGTCCGAAACCCAAGATGCTAGTCTATCTCCCACCTATACCCACACAATCTCTGATAGGAGGGAAGAATCTGGTGAGTGGTGACTGCCTCTACAGAAGATGACCAGGTGACAGGATAGAAGGAATAATTATTTTTACTTAGCCTTTTGGTACCTTCAAATTTTACATGTTAGTTTTAAAAAAATATTTTTTAAAAGGTTAAGGATCCCTTTTAAGGAAATTCCTCTATAAGATCAGATGTTCAGGCTGGACATGGTGGCTCAGGCCTATAATCCCAATACTTTGGGAGGCCAGTTTAAGACCAGCCTGGGCAACGTAGTAAGACCTCATCTCTGCTTAAAACAATTAGCCAGGTTTCCTTGACATGTACAGGTAAAAAGAAAAAAAAATTAGCCAGGCATGGTGGGGTGCACTTGTGTTCCCAGCTATTCAGGAGGCTGAGGTGGGAGGATCACTTGGGCCCAGGAGTTGGAGGCTGCACTGAGCTATGATGGCGCTACTGCACTCCAGTCTGGGTTAGAGAGAGAGACTCTGTCTCTAAAACAAAAAAGATCAGAGAGACAGGAATATTGAGTACACTCACAGCATCTTATATTAAATCAACAGAGAGAAATTAGAGACAAGAATAGAAAGCGTGCTGCTCCTGGTTCCCTCCTCATGGAGGAAACACTGCCTGAGGCGAGCAAAGACCTAGGCTCACCTGATCTTCCTGGCTTCTCTAGATCTCAAAGCTACTTATGGCTCTAATACCTTTAGAGGCCTTAGAGCAACTGAATATTAATAAATTGGGAGCTGGTGTGATCAGAAAGCATACCTCATAGGAACACTCTCTTACTCCTATTCACTGCTTCTTCTTTCTCTTGTCTATGTTTCCTGTTTACAGCTTCCTAGCTTTTGTATTCAATATTTGATTTTCAAACTGGTTTTGACAAAATGAACTGTAATAAGTAAACAAAAATAAATAAGGTGTGTGTGGGATGAAGGGTGATGAAGACCAAAAAGAGGGAGGAAAAGTTGGGCCTCTGTGAAATGAATATGATAGTATTGATCTAAATGCTGTTAACTGTTAAATAACTTACTGGCATCTCAACCAAAGTACGCAAGGCCATAATAGTGATTTGAGTCCAGATTACTCCACATTCATTAAACAACATGCTCGGTGAGCAGGAAAGGAGACAGAATTACATCGTATATGAGTCTCACTAGAATGATGTTGATGCTCACCCGGATGTGCTGGAGGTAGAGAGACAAGTCTCGGATAAAAGACTTAATCAATCTTTCTTGCATTCGGAAGTTTTTTTCTGTTTCTTCAAATACTTCATCTTTTATCTGTTCAAAAATAAACAAATGCTGTTAGCAAATGTGGATGCTCCTTTGATCTATCTTATTGGCGAAAGTTGCTTTTTTAAAAACAAAAAACAACGGAGTTTCGCTCTTGTCACCCAAGCTGGAGTGCAATGGCGCGATCTCGGCTCACTGCAACCACCACCTCCTGGTTTAAGCGATTCTCCTGCCTCAGCCACTCGAGTAGCTGAGATTACAGGCATGCGCCACCATGCCCAGCTAGCAACAGGGTTTCACCATGTTGACCACGCTAGTCTTGAACTCCTGACCTCAGGTGATCCACCAACCTCAGCCTACCAAAGTGCTGGGATTATAGGTATGAGCCACTGCGCCCTGCCAAAAGTAGCTTTCTTGAACACCTGCATGTGATTTCAAAAGACTCCAAAATACACACAGGCTCTCCTTTAAACCTTCTTTGCAAGCCCTCTGCTCTGGCCAGGCTGCCCTCTTCACTCCAACACTGCCATGTCTGCTGATCCTAGGACTGTCCCTCCTGAGGGTCCCCTGCCTGGCAGGTCCTCTCCCTCCCTGTGGCATGCCTGCCCCCTTCCTATAAGGCTCAGGCCAATATGACTCTTGCTGTCACTGAACTCCTGTTTTTCTAAAATACTAAAGCATTTGGAGAACAAAGTATAAAACCTAGCAACAGACTACTTTCTGGCTTATATTTTCCATTAATTGTACTTTGTATATATAATACAGCAGAATGATGTCTTGAGACTTCAGGTCAACTTTCAGCATTGTTGATAAACTGTTTTTCATCACACTCAATCTCACGTTTCCTTCTTTGTAATATCATGTATCCAGCTAGGTGATCTCTTAAATTCCTGCTAGCTTAGTAAGTCTACCACTGTAGTTCTGTCCTGCCAAGTCAACAATCCCCTTAGAGATGGTGAAAACTACAATAGTTATTATATGTCAACTGATCTGACCCTCTAATTTGCCTTTGTAACTGGCAGCTGTAAGGCCATCTTCACCAGCTCGCAAAACCCAGAGGACGTCTGAGGAAGGGAACCACGCCAATTGATGCCAGGCAGGCTATCTCATGGAACCCTGAAAAGCTGTCAAAGATGTGCTAAGCCTTCCAGGATGGGGATCTCACCTGAGGAGCAAAGCCAGTGAGATGTTTCAGGTGACTGCTAACTCGGTTGGATTTCTTGATGATGGAATGGATGTTCAGTTTGGAAATCTTCTCCATAAGGCTATCTTCATCACCCTTACGGTACTTGAGGACTAAGGAGTAAGTCAGAAAAGCACTTTTGTCAGCATGGACATACCACAAAATGAGCCACAAATGGGAGCTAGTGCTTGTCTTCAACGAACTTATAAGAAAATATTAATCCAAATGATGATTTATGGACAGACATGATAGCTGAAGCACAGTAGAGAGACAGGAAGAAAGTAGCAGAGGTATAAGGGAAAGAACTTCAGGAAATCTGAGTTCAATGCTTGGGTCTGCCATTTAATCAAGGTCTGGCCTTAAATCAGTCATTTTACCTTGAGTCTCATTTCCTCTTCAATAAAATGTGGAAAGCAATGTGGCCTTGTCTTATAAGGCCATCTTAAATGGTGTTATATGCAAATAAGATACTGACATCCAATGGTCTCCCATAGTTAAATGCTACACAGCAGTAATTTGATTAATTACCATATTAAACATTAGGCCAGAAAAGTATAGAGATACAGGTAGAAAGGTAGCAAGGGGAAGACTGGGTGGCAGCAAAAAAGGATAACTTGTTGTTGTAGAAGTTGGAGACTACATCTCATTAGGAGATGGGAGCCAAGGGAAAGGGCTGGATGATCAGAGAGCTTTAGAAGCCACAGTCTACATCCCTTCCTAATGAGGGTGACACAGTTGAAGTAGAAGGCAGAGAATGACTTTAGATAACTTTAAAAGTGTGGAGAAGAATGGAAAGACAAAAAGATTATACTGTATTATAGATATCTTTAGGATGTGAATAATAAATCAGCTCAGCACAGTCACTGTGCTATATATATTCACTGAATGCTCAAGTTAGGGCCTCAAGAGACCTGATGAGTGCATTCAGTGTTGTGAAGGAGGAGTGGGTGGGCAACTGACTGTTTTGGGAAGGAAAATGAGGGACTCAACCTGGAGAGGTCACTGGGCAGGGATGATAGGACCAGAAAGGTAAGCAGATTGGGGTTTTCTAAAAAGACAAGAAGTCCTAGCTTTAGTAGAAGCTGTAGGACATCAATTAGACACACAGAGAAACCAAGTCTATGCGTGGACTCCAGAGTAGCTCCTTAAATGAGTCGAGGAGGAAATTGTCCCTGCTTGAATAAAATTTCCCATCACCCAGTCTCCACTGTCTTCATATCTCTTGGGAAAGGTTCTTATTGCTATACATTTTGTTACAGATGCCTTATTTCCAATATACCATAGTTGTACTTTTATTATTACTTCTGCCTTTAATAAATACCACATTTTGGGCCAGGTGCAGTGGCTTACATCTGTAATCACAGCACTTTGGGATGCCAAGGCAGGCGGACCACCTGAGGTTAGGAGTTCCAGACCAGCCTGGCCAACATGGTGAAACCGTGTCTCTACTAAAAATGCAAAAATTAGCTGGGCATGGTGGTGCGTGCCTGTAGCTCAAGCTACTTGGGAGGTTGAAGGAGAAACGCTTGAACATGAGAGGCGGAGGTTGCAGTGAGCTGAGATAGTGCCACTGCACTCCAGCCTGAGTGAAAGAGTAAGACTCCATCTCAAAAAATAATATCACATTTCCAGCTGGGCACAGTGGCTCACACCTGTAATCCCAGCACTTTGGGAGGCCAAGGTAGGCAGATCACAAGGTCAGAAGTTTGAGACCAGCCTGACCAACATAGTGAAACCCCGTCTCTACTAAAAATACAAAAAATTAGCCGGGTGTGGTGGCTGTGTGCCTGTAATCTCAGCTACTCGGGAGGCTGAGGCAGGAGAATTGCTTGAAAGTGGGAAGCGGAGGTTGCAGTGAGCCGAGCTTGCACCACTGCACTACAGCCTGGGCAACAGTGTAAGACTGTCTCAAAAAAAAAACAAACCCCAAAACACATTTTCCTCAAATTCTACTGCCATTTCTTCATCACAGCCCTATTATACCCACCACTGCCTTGTCCAACTCTAGTGAAGTAATAAACTGTTTTGAGAAGAAAAACATTCTCAAAGGGCATTCTCCTTTTCAGCAATTATGCTGTTCTTACCCAGATCCTTTCGCCGTTTATATTCATTAATGTTAACATTGATTTCCTTGACCGCAAGGACTGCATTGGTTAAAGGCACTTTATCTGGGTGGGATTCTGGGGTGGAATTCAGCAACTCCATTAGCAACAGTGGGTAACGCATTACTCTCTGTACAGGTTTGATGAGGAAGGAGCCCAGGTTAATATAATTTGTGCATCCCCTGTAAGAAATGGAAAAAAGATTTTAGCAAGCTATCAATAGTATAGTGCCCAGCCTGGGCAACATAGTGAGACACCATCTTTAAAAAAAATTTTTTTTAATAATAACATATGCCTATGGGCAGGATTTGTTATTCCTAAATACAGGTCTCTGTTCTTTTACCCCACCTTCCAATTTCAGTCATTCAGTGTGTATTAATCTAATAAACACCAGGTACTGTTCTAGGTGCTGGGGATTTAACAGTGATCCCAAAAGTCCCTGCCCTGGTAGGAGAAGATAGGCAATAAACAGATAAATGATGTGTTCACTTGGGGGTAACTGCTACAAAAAAAAAATACAGCAAGGTGAGTCTACTTCCAGGTTTGTCTATAAAGGAAGAAAATAAAGGGTTAGGAAAAATCCACGTAAGAAATGAGCACATACATCAAGCCACAATGGAACTTACCATTCGTTGTATAGGCTCCTATAAGGTGGCGGGCATGAAAAGAAAAGAGACAGTTATTAGAGAATCCTGAGTTTCACATTCTTCTCAGAACATAAATCATGTGAAACAAAAAGAAAATTATGAATATCTATGGCAGCATATTTAGTCTACTAAAAAATGTTAGTAAGCCTGTAACTTCCCTTTGATCTACTTATCCACATATCTTTACACCTTGCTTCCGTAAGACCAGGACAATCTCACCTGATGTCAAGACTACCTTGGGTGGGTGCCTTGGCTCACACCTATAATCCCAGCACTTTGAGAGGCCGAGATGGGCGGATCACTTGAGGTCAGGAGTTCAAGACCAGACTGGCCAACAGGGCGAAACCCCATCTCCATTAAAATTATAAAAATTAGCCAGGCAGGCTGGGCGTGGTGGCTCATGCCTGTAATCCTAGCACTCTGGGAGGCCGAGGCAGGCAGATCACAGGGTCAGGAGTTCAAGGCCAGGCTGGCCAGCATGGCAAAACTCCATCTCCACTAAAAATACAAAAATTAGCCCAGCAGGCCGGGTGTGGTGGCTCGTGCCTATAATCCTAGCACTTTGGGAGGCTGAGGCGGGTGGATCATGAGGTCAGAAGTTTGAGACCGGCCTGAACAATATGGTGAAACCCCATCTCTACTAAAAATACAAAAATTAGCCAGGCATGGTGTCGCATGCCTGTAATCCCAACTACTCAGGAGGCTGAGGCAGGAGAATCACTTGAACCTGGGAGGTGGAGGTTGCAGTGAGCCAAGATCATGCCACTGCACTTCAGCCTGGGCGACAGAGCAAGACTCTGTCTCAAAATAAATAAATAAATTAAATAAAATAAAAATTAGCCAGGCATGGTGGCACACACCTATAATTCCAACTATTTGGAGAATGCCATGCCAGGAGACTCACTTGAACCGGGAAGGCAGAGGTTGCAGTGAGCCGAAACTGTGCCACTGCACACTGGCCTGTGGGACAGAGCAAGACTCTGTCTCAAAACAAAAAAACCCCATATTTAGTCTTCTCACCTATGCTCTTGTTCATCTGGACCAATTCTAACATAACACTCCATATATATAGATAAAAAAGCAGGAGGTCACTTAAATGACATATATCATGGATAGCTTCTCAGGTCCAGGCATATACACAGGTATAACTTAGAACTAAAGAGCTGTGGTGGAAGTTCAGTGGTCAAAACTCCTACTTCAGATCTGCCAAGGAGTCCTGAAGATGCTTCTGGATCTTCTCATCCTTCTCGTAGATTTCCAGCAGCGCAATGGCCTCATCATGATTCTGGCAGTAAACCTTGTATGTTCCCTCAAGCTCATCCCGGTGACCAAGAAACACAGGTCCTTTGGAATATACACAAACATACAGTGTTTTTAGTAACTTTCTTCTCAGTATCCTAAATGTAAGGTACACGGCCAAACTTTAGTACCAGCTAAATTGTACCTATTACAAGAAATGATAGTAAAACTATCCATCAAATAGTAAGAAACTTCCATCTAACAGCTTGAAGTTGTAATCATTTAAAGCAAAATTTAGAAAGCCATATCATCCGTGTATGTATTTATTCATTTTTATTTTTTTGAGACAGGGTCTCACTCTGTCACCCAGGCTGGGGTGCAGTGGCACAATCTCAGCTCACAGTAGGCTTGACCTCCCAGACTCAGGTGACTCTCCCATCTTAGCCACCTGGGGAGCTGGGAGTGCATGCCACCACGCCCAGCTAATTTTCTGTATTTTTGGTAGAGAGGGGATTTCACTATGTTGCCCGGACTCATGTATTTGTTTTAGAAAACACACACACACACACACACACACACAAACGCACACACAGACACACACGTGTGAAACTGGCTTCTGAAAGAGAGCCTCCAGTCCCTTTGCAGTCGGGCTGATTTGGGTATCTAAGAGCACTCTCCATGTAGGGATGTGATGAGAACCCCATAAGGACCCCTCACTTTATTTTTTTTTTCCCTGAGACGGAGTCTCACTCTTGTCTCCCACGCTGGAGTGCAGCTGCACATGTCAGCTCACTGCAACCTCTGCCTCCCCAGTTCAAGCACTTCTCCTGCCTCAACCTCCTGAGTAGCTGGGACTGCAGGCACACACAACCACGCCCAGCTAATTTTTGTATTTTTAGTACAGATAGGGTTTCACCATGTTGGTCAGGCTGGTCTTGAGCTCCTGACCTCAAGTGATCTGCCCGCCATGGCCACCCTAAGTGCTTGGATTATAGGTATGAGCCACCGCGCCTAGCCCCTCTCACTTTCTAATCACCAGGAAAATTTACTGTAGAAACTACAGCAGTTTCTAACATTTTTGTGTATAAATAAGACTATGAATAAAGTTTATTACATTAAAATATCTTTAAAGATAAATCTCCAACTTATAAAATAGTAACCTATGTACTTCTTTTTTTTTTATTTTTTGAGACAGAGCCTTGCTCTACCATTCAGGCTGGAGTGCAATGGTTTGATCTTGGCTCACTACAACCTCTGTCTCACAGGTTCAATCAATTCTCCTGCCCCAATCTCCCAAGTAGACTGGGATTACAAGCAGCCGCCACCACACCCGGCTAATTTTTTGGATTTTTAGTAGAGACGGGGTTTCGCCATGTTGGCCAGGCTGGTCTCAAACTCCTGACCTCACGTGATCCACCCCCTCAGCTTCCCAAAGTGCTGGGATTACAGGCGTGAGCCACCACACTGGGCCTGTTTATTTATTCATCTAGAGATGGGGTTTTGGTCTTGTTGCCCAGGCTGGAGTAAAGTGGTGCAATCTCAGCTCACCACAACCTCCGCCTCCCAGACTCAAGCAATTCTCCTGTCTCAGCCTCCCGAGTAGCTGGGGATTAGAGGCATGCGCCACCATGCCTGGTAAATTTTTGGATTTTTAGTAGAGACGGGGTTTCTCCATGTTGGTCAGGCTAGTCTCGAACTCCCGACCTCAGGTGATCCGCCCGCCTCAGCCTCCCAAAGTACTAGGATTTATAGGCATGAGCCACCATGCCCAGCCTATTTTTTTTTTTTTTTTTTTTTTTTTGAGGCAAGGTCTTTCTCTGTTGCCTAGGCTACAGTGCAGTGACACGATCTTGGTTCACTGCAACCTCCACCTCCCAGGCTCAAGTGATCCTCCCGCCTCTGCCTCCTGAGCAGCTGGGACTACAGATGTGCACCGCCATCCCCAGTTAATTTTTGTAATTTTAGTAGAGACAGCATTTTGCCATGTTGGTTGGGCTGGTCTCAAACTCCTGGGCTCAAGCAGTTCACCTGCCTGGGCCTCCCAAAGTGCTGGGATTACAGGCGTGAGCCCCAGCTTTATGTACTTCTTTATAAGGCATTAAATAACCAAATGTAGCACTGAGTCTAATAATCCCCATACTGTCATAGTCTAAGGAGTGACACATGCTGATAACATTGGCTGCTTCTGATTGAGGGTTACTGAAATTTCAAGAAAATTGCAACAACCTATTGTGATAGGAACATATGACTTATTTTGGTGACAAAGTCACAGCTACTACTGATACTATGTGGTTTATTCCCTACATTCATACTTTAAATAAATGCTATATTTCAGTTAGAGATTAGTTAAAAAAAAAAAAAAGATGTAATTTTTTTCCCGTATCTCCAGAGCCAGTTAAGCACAGGGACAATTCCTAAGCAAACTTCCATAGAACTATTTCCCTCGGAGCTGTGGCCTGAATGTGTGCATCCTTGGCTTACTATCAGGACTCTTCCTCTTGCCCTTCTTTCCTCCTCTCAGTGTATTTGGTCCTCCCTTCCTCAGCTTCATGTTCCACCAAAAAAGACCTCTCATCCTTGTTCTCCTCCCCACAATATGGCACTACTTACTGCTTCCCTACAACCAACCACTCTTACCAGCTACCCAGGCACGAACCCCTCCCTCAGGGAGCCCATCACTGCTTCTGCGGAGTCACCTCTGTTCTCTGTGGTGACAGGACCACGGAAGTCCCTGTTCTTGTGCAGAACATAATTTTTTTCTTTTTTAAGACAGAGTCTCCTGGGTTGCCCAGGCTGGAGTGCAGAGGCACAATCTTGGCTCACTACACCCTCCACCTCCTGGGTTCAAGTGATCCTTCCACCTCAGCCTCCTGAGTAGCTGGGACTAAAGGAGTACGCCAACACACCTGGCCAATTTTTGCATTTTTGCATTTTTGGTAGAGCCAGGGTTTCGCCATGTTGGCCAGGCTGGTCTCAGACTCCTAGGCTCAAGTGATCTACCCGCCTCAGCCTTCCAAAGTGCTTGGGATTATGGGCACTGAGTCACCACACCTGGCCAAAAAAAGTTTCTATTTAAATTAATTTCCTTAATTATAGCTCCTTTCTGTAAAAGAAACTTAATTTTTTTCATATCACCTCATACTGCCCTTTCTCACTGGAAGCCTCCCTACTTTAAAAAAAGAAATTGTTTCGAGACAAGGTCTCACTCTGTCCCCTAGGCTGAGTGCAGTGCCATGATCCCTGCCCGCTGCAGCCTCCAACACCTGGGCTCAAGCAGTCCTCCTAGGCCTCCCAAACTATTGAAATTACACGTATGAGCCACTGGGCCTGGCTCACACTCTTCTGCCTACTCCTGCAACCCACCAGTCACAGCAGTGGGAGCGGGGCTCGCTCCTTTTTCATCTTCACGGCCAGTTTTTTTTTTTTTTTTTTTTTTTTTAAAGACAGGATCTTGCTCTGTCACCCAAGCTGGAGTCCAGTGTCATGAACACAGGGCTCACTGTAGCCTTGACCTCCTGGGCTCAAGCAACTCTCTGCCCTCAGTCCCCCAAGTAGCTGGAACTACAGGTGTGCCCCACCACACCCAGCTAATTTTTGTATTTTTTTTTGTAGAGATGGTGTTTCGCCTTATTAGTCAGGCTGGTCTCGAACTCTTGAGCTCAGCAATCCTTGCAGATTGGTCTCCCAAAGTGCTGGGATTACAGGCATGAGCCACCGTGCCTGGCCTTCATGGCCACTTTGGAATCCCTAAGCCACCTATGTCTTCGTGTGGTTTCACCATTCTACATTAGTCTGCCTTCTTTTCACGGCCCTTTTCCCTACTTGCATTCTTAGAACCTTCACCACCCAGCCTGATGATTATCTACACTTCTCAATTCGCTATTCTTCAAATTCCCTGATAGTGACTGTTCCACATCAATTACAAACTAGCAAAGCTACACCTTAATTTCCTTCAAACTCTGGGTCATGAAGTCTACTTAACAGGTCATGATCAGCACTTTTTTGACGAGACAGAGTGGATTTTTTTTTCTGTAGAGACATGGTTTTCCCATGTTGCCCAGGCTGGTCTAGAACTTCTGGGCTCACATGATCTGCCCACCTTGCCTCAGCCTCCCAAAGTGTTAGGATTACTGGCATGAGCCAACACACCTTCCTGATAAAATGGAATGGAAAAGAAAATATCAAAAAACATTGGACGTAAAAATTAGCTGGGTGTGGTGGCAGACACCTGTAGTCCCAGCTACTAGGGAGGCTGAGGTGGGAAATCGATTGAGCCCAGGAAGTGGAGGCTGCAGTGAGCTGTGATTGTACCCAGCCTGGGCAACAGGGTGAGACTGCCTCAAAAAGAAAAAAAAAAGAAAAATGCCAGGCATGATGAAACTAAGCACAGCCATACATAGAAACACAAATCCTGGGTCATTATGGACAACATCTCTTTCCATAGGACGTGTTTAAAATCATATAGGGCCAGTCCTTTCCACCTATGACCACATACCCAGAGTCTCCTGGCACTGCTTGATCATCCTCTATCTCGGCCATCCGCCCTTTCCCTGTGCCTTCACAAGGCTTTAACTTGCCCTTCACAGACTTCTCAGAGCCTTCCCTCATCAGATGTTTCAGACCTCGTTTGTCCTTTGTGAGTCCCTGACTGAAGGCACCGGCTGGCTTCTGCTAGAGCTACTGGCATGGTGCTGTCAGTCTTGGCTCCCTCAGGCCCCACCACCCACCGTCCCTCCTTGGGGAGGTTAGTCCTTGGGCCCAGGTCTCAGCCTTTCAGCGGCAAGTTGTCTCTACCGCTTCTCGGTGTCTTCAACACACTGAAGCCTGCTACCCAACTCCTTGTGTGACTGGATAAGAAGTGAAGGGAAGAAGGAAAAATAAACGCAGTGCTATCTTATGGAGATGGAGTTACGGATATTTGCTTTCTTTTCCCAGTTTACTGTCATAATGTAAGGAATAGTATACTATAAGAGACACATGATAAGACTCTCATTTCAGGTTTGAATCACACCCAAGGGGAGAAGGTGCCTTTTGGAAGCTGGTTAACTCCAACCAGCTGGGAGCCCTAGGCATGATAACAGGTAATAAAATGCAAGAAAAATGAGTAACCACCTAATTTATAATTAATTCCTTTTAGATACCAGCCAACTTTATCTCATTTCTTTCATAATTCAAATAAATGACCCAGTGATACTTATTTCAAGTGCCTTATAAAATCGTATACATTGGCGTTTATGCTTCACCATCACACTAAAACTGGGTCACAGTGACTTCCTTCTGCTCAACTCAATGCGTGTCTCCTTCCTCAACTTCCCTGACCTCTCTGGTTCCACCAAGGGCAAGAACCTCAGGCTCCAGTTTTTCTAACTGTTCCAGAAAGTGTAAAAGACACAGCTGTATTCTGTATAGAGGCTAATGGCATTTGCCTGCATGACAGAAAGACTTGAGTTTGGATGCCAACCCCATCAATTACTAGCCATGTGACCTGGGCAAATTGCCTTCCATCTAAGTGTCAGTTTCTCACCGTAAAATAGGATAAAGAGTACCTAAACCAGCTGCAGAGTGGGTCACACCTCTAATCCAGCAGTGTGGGAGGACTGTTTGAGCTCAGGAGTTAAAACAGCCTGGGCAACAGAGCAAGACCTCATCTCTACTAAAAATAAAAAGGCTAGCTGGGAGGCTGAGGAGGGAAGATCACTTGAGCTTGGGAGGTCGAGGCTACAGTGAGCCATGACCATGCCACTGCATTCTAACCTGGGTAGCAGAGCAAGACCCTGTCTTAAAAAGGTGTGTGGTGGCTCATGCCTATAATCACAGCATTTTGGGAGTCTGAGGAGGGAAGATCCCTTGAGGCCAGGAGTCCAAGACTAACCTGGGCAACATAGTGAGACTCCATCTCTACAAAAATTTAACTATTAGCTGGCACTGATGGTGCATGCCTATAGTCCCAGCTGCTCAGGGAGCTGAGATAAGAAGATTGCTTGACCTGGGCAATTGAGGCTGTAGTAAGCAATGTGAGACCCTGTCTAAAAAAGAAGGAACAATAGTACCTAAACCTCAGAGGGCTGTCTATTGTAGAGAACTGAGATCCTATCTTGAGAGAGTATGTGGTGAGAGAGACAGGAAACATTAACCATGCTAATGCTACAACATCCCAGAGCTGTTTTCTCCTCCCTTCAGGCGGCAGAACCCTGATTTTGTTCCTGTGTCCGTTTTTCTCCAAGGTGAGTCAGGTAAATACCATCTAGTGTAAGCCAGCATCATGACCCTATTCCCCTTTCTTTTTTTTTTTTTTTTGAGACGGAGTTTCACTCTTGTTACCCAGGCTGGAGTGCAATGGCGCGATCTCGGCTCACCGCAACCTCCGCCTCCTGGGTTCAGGCAATTCTCCTGCCTCAGCCTCCAGAGTAGCCGGGACCACAGGCACGCGCCACCATGCCCAACTAATTTTTTGTATTTTTAGTAGAGACGAGGTTTCACCATGTTGACCAGGATGGTCTCGATCTCTTGACCTCGTGATCCACCCGCCTCGGCCTCCCAAAGTGCTGGGATTACAGGCGTGAGCCACCGCGCCCGGCCTCCCATTCCTCTTTCTAGACATCAACTTAGCTGCATGCATGTCACCCACTTCTGGCCAATGATAAACAAGATTTCTGATCAGGGAGCTCTGGAAAAGGTTTGCAAACTCTTAAGATGATACAGGGATCAATCCTTCCTTCTGGTGGATGTTGTGTATAATGTTATGGCTGGAAATGGGGTAGCCTCTTGTAATTAGGATTCCAATAAAGCAGCAAATTGATAGGATGTCCCCTCCCACACTGTGCCAGGGCTGGTCTGTATGACCCACAGAATATGACAGAAGGGATGCTGTGTCATTTCCGAGATCAAGTTATAGAAGACATTGGTTCCTGTTTCAGGCATGCTTGCTCTTGCTTGCTCTCTCTCATTCATTCTCTCTCTCTCTCAGGTCACTTTGGGTGACTCATGACTCATGCCACATTATGAGGAAAGCCAAAGGAGAGGCTCACATGGCAAGAAACTGAGGCCTGAAGAGCTGAGTGACCTTTCTTGGAAGTGGATCCCTGAGCTCCAGATGATAGCGGCCCAGGCCAACGACTGATTCCAACCTCATGAGACCCTGGGCCAGAACCACCCAGAGGAGCCACCTCCAGATTCCTGACCTACAGAAGCTGCAAAGTAATACATGTTTAATGTTTTCATCTGCTAAGTTTCAGTGCAATTGTTACAGAGCAATGGATAACCAGTAAGTTCCCTTGTTTATAAGAACTAGATGACTGTTTCAAAAACATTTTTGACAATGTCCCACATAAATACATTTTAAATTTTAAATTACGACTCAGTACACATATATGTGAAATGAAAAAAAAAGTTTCAGCCGGATGTGGCAGCTCACACCTGTAAACCCAACACTCTGGGAGGCCGAGGTGGGAGGATCACTTGAGCCCAGGAGCTTGAGACCAGCCTGGGCAACATGGCAAAACCCTGTCTCTACAAAAAAAAATTACAAAAATTAGCTGGGCATGATGGCACATGCCTGTGGTCCTAGCTACGTGGGAGACCAAGGTGGGAGGATGCCTTGAGGCTGGGAGGTTGAGGCTGCAGTGAGCTGAATTCACACCACTGCACTCCAGTCCAGCCTGGGCAAGAGTAAAAATCCTGTCTCAAAAAAAAAAAAAAAGATAAGTTTCAAAAATTGGTAAACTTATTATTTACAGTACATTCTAATATATATATATTTTTTTTTCCTTGAGACCGAGCCTTGCTCTATCCCCCAGGCAGGAGCATACTGGCACGTGGCACGATTTCAGCTCACTGCAGCCTCAACCTCAACCTCCCAGGCACAAGCAATCCTCCCACGTTGGTCTCCCAAGTAGCTGGGATTACAGGTATCCATGACCACCAGTTAATTTTTGTATTTTTGGCCGGGCGCGGTGGCTCAAGCCTGTAATCCCAGCACTTTGGGAGGCCGAGGTGGGTGGATCACAAGGTCAAGAGATCAAGACCATCCTGGTCAACATGGTGAAACCCCGTCTCTACTAAAACTACAAAAAATTAGCTGGGCATGGTGGCGCGTGCCTGTAGTCCCAGCTACTCAGGAGGCTGAGGCAGGAGAATTGCCTGAACTCAGGAGGCGGAGGTTGCGGTGAGCCGAGATCGTGCCATTGCACTCCAGCCTGGGTAACAAGAGCGAAACTCCGTCTAAAAAAAAAAAAAAAAAAAAAAAAAAAAAAAAAAAATTTTGTATTTTTAGTAGAGACAGGGTTTCACCAAGTTGGCCAGGCTGGTCTCAAACTCCTGACGTCAGGTGATCCTCCTCCCACAGGCTCCCAAAATGCTGGGATTACAGGTGAGACAGAAGGAAAGCAGAGGACAAATAACCTCTGAACTAAGTACCTAAACCTGTATCTTCCCGGCGGCAAAGTTACTCAGTATCAGGGAGGCCCCTTTGCTCTGCCCATGAAGTTTTTTTAAAAAGCTGCTTCTGAAACAATGCAGGAGTTCATACCTACAGCATCGCTGATTTCCAGAGCAGCCAATAATTGCTTCGAGACCTTAATCACCATCTGCATATTTCCAAAAAGGCCCTCAAAATCAATGTTTGGTACCTGAGAGAAGGAAACACAACATAAAGATGCACGGAAATGAGATTAATGAAATTTCATTCATCCTTAGGAACAGCTCAATGTCACTTTCTTTACTCACTTTCACTAAGTTTCCAGAATAGAAACATCCAATGTTATCTTTAGTGTCATCCTTTGTCCTTGATCCAACTATTCTCTGCCACTCCCACCAGCACTTTAGTAAAGTGACAATGGAACCAGTTTGGTTCACAAATGCACTGGGATAAAAATTCCCACCCAGTGTCCAACATCCCGTGGCACTGCCTACCTATTACAGAAGGGCTTGGGAGTCAATAATCCAGGTGGTCAAGTTACAAGCAGTAAGGACTATAAACCCCAGGACACTGTTACCCTTTTCTTACTACCTCCAGCATCTAGAAAAGTTCCTAGCCTACTCACATGTTAGTCAGAGTTTCCTGGATAAACTGTATGAACAGGTACTAGAGCCAAGTAACCCCTCCCCACCAGACTTTGTTATATCATCACTCGGCCTTCCAGCAGGGCCACGATTCAGAGTTCTTGGAACTGTTTTCAGGAGCCACAGAAACAGGAAGTGTCCTGGGAGTTACTGCAGTGTCCAGTAGGTTAACAGTAGACTTGACAAGTGACAGGACACTGAAGGCTTAAGCTGATGACACACATATGATGAGGCCCTTGATTAAGAGCAGCAGCATTCACAGTCACAGTTTCTATTTCAAATCCAATAGATCTGTGGTGAAAGTTCCTATATCCTAATGCTTCTGACTGGAGGACCACATTGAAGGTCAAACTAACTCTAACTGCCTCCCAGTTCCCACCTGTGCCTGCTGCAGGGGTACCATGATCCGCTCAATACACATTTCCAGATCCCGAATGTAGTCTCTCTCTGTCTGAAGCAGTTCTTCTACGACCTTGGCTCTCTTCTCCAGCATCCTCTGCTCTGGGTTTTCGGTGGACACAGGCCCAGAAGGGGCTACCAGTGATGAAGACTGGGAGGAGAGGAGCGTCATTTCTAGAAGGGAAAAGAGAACTGGTCAGCAGCTCTGGGGGAAAAGCAGGACCCTTCCACAGTTTGAGGGCAAACAGAACCAATTCCTTGAGAATCAAAGGTCTCACTATTGTTAACCCTCAGGAAATCTGATTGCACATGTCCATTCTAAACAGGGACAGGTGAAGCTGTGAAAGTCATCGCTGCGGAGAGAACTCCAACCTGTGTAATACCATTTTGAGAATGTGTCCTAAAAAGAAGTAGCTAGCGCACTTTAAGTGAACAAAGCATGTCTACAAGCCCCTTGCAAAAGAGGTTAGAGGGGTCTGGCCTTATCAAGACTTGCTTTTACTTAATCAGATAAAAAACCTGGTCTATGATCACAGCATCAGAAATACCAAACTGGAAGTTAAAAATATAGATGTAGCACATTAAACAGAATATTATGGGGAATGCAAAATAATGCCAACTAAGGCTAAAATAAAAATAAGAAATTATCCATCTGAGATCTGGATAATTATAGCACCTATCATTTTCCAGTCACTGTAATGGTGGATTAACATTAGCACATAATGAACTAGGTAAAAAATTGTTGAGATATTCCCTATGAAAACCTTAACCAAAACTCACAAGAGGTTTTGTTACTTCAAATGTCCTAGTAGATACAAACTTACTATAAACATGAAACTCATCAATGGCATTTTCAAGTATAAGAATCTCTAAGAACTAAACAGCATGATTCTAAATATTAAAACAAATATGTATCCCGCCATTAGCCTTTATAATTATTTGTTACTTAGGTACATAGGATGAGAGTTATTTATAAACATGTAACAGCACTTGTTCATCTAAAATGAACACTAAACACAATAATAAGGAATGGAAAAGAACTCAACAGTGAAACAATCAGTCTGCTGAGTTTCTATCAAATTCCTTAAGATCCAATTAAACAACTACAAATCTGGTATGTAAATACACCAGTAGGTCTGAGTACAATTACAGGAATATTTTAACCCAGATTTAAGAAGCAAAAACACAAGTGTTCAAACTACATATGGGAAGTCTGACTTCACAGCAGATTTTATTCTCCAAAAAAATCTCCCACACTGCTTTCTCTCAGAATTTAGGAATTCCGGGCCGGACGCTGTGGCTCACACCTGTGATCCCAGCACTTTGGAAGGCCAAGGCTGTTAAATCACTTGAGGTCAGGAGTTGGAGACCAGCCTGGTCAACATGGGAACTCCCATCTCTACTAAAAATACAAAAATGCTGAGCGTAGTCACACACACTGTGATCCCAGCTACTTGGGAGGCTGAGGCATGAAAATCTCTTGAACCTAGGAGGCGGAGGTTGCAATAAGCTGAGGTGACAGATAGAGACCGTATCTCCAAAAAAAAAAGTGAGGAATTCCAGTGTTTAAGAGTGCAACCAACCCAAATTCTGGCTTCTAGATGCCATTCTCCACAAAAAGGAGGCAGGGTTCTTTGGAGAAATGTTTAATTCCAGGGCTGGGGCAAAGAAGGTATAGCTGAGCTTGAACATGAGGCAGAAAGTGAAGAAGTACTCAACAACATGGTGGGGATGGGTCAAAGGGCACGGAAGCCAACCTGAAGGGGGCTCCCACTGGCCAATCTGGCACCATTTAAGTATAAATGAAAAAGCACAGCAATGGATTACTCTGTTAAATGAGAATCTGTGAGTTCATATTGATCATTTATAAATATATAAGTACATAAAGAAATGGGAGAGAAGAGAAAGCTCTTTCTTATGGGATAATGTCAGTTGGTAAATAAGAGGAGAAATGATGGAGTCAGAAAATCACCATTTTAGGCCAAGCATGGTGGCTCATGCCTGTAATCCCAGCACTCTGGGAGATCAAGGTGGGTATATCACTTGAGTTCAGGAGTTCAAGACCAGCCTGGGCAACATGGCAAAACCTCATCTCTACAAAAAATACTAAAATTAGCAGGGCATGGCTGGCACGCCAGCTACTCAGGAGGCTGAGGTGGGAGAATGGCTTGAATCCAAGTGGCAGAGGTTGCAGTAAGCTGAGATTGTGCCACTGCACTCCAGCCTGGGTAAAGACCTGTTGGGAGTTCAAGACCAGCCTGACCAACATGGAGAAACCCTTGTCTCTCCTAAAAATACAAAATTAGCCAGGCATAGTGGCGCATGCCTATAATCCCTGCTACTTGACAGGCTGAGGCAGGAGAATCACTTGAACCCAGGAGGTGGAGGTTGCAGTGAGCCGTGACTGCGCTATTGCACTTCAGCCTGGGCAACAATAATGAAACAGTCTCAAAAAACCAAAAAACAAAAACAACAACAACGAAAAAACAGAAGAATGTTAAATATCGGTGAATTTGTATAAAACGTATACTGGAGTTTCATTGTACTAGTATAATTTTCTGTATATTTGATATTATTCAAATAAAATTTAAAAAGACATAATGGAAACATATCTTTCTGGAAACTTTTTGGAAATGAATGGCAAAACTTTAAGCATAACCCTCAATTTCATCAGTGTTAAACTATGATTCTAAATTCTTTGTGTTATAAGTAAAATTTATTTTTACTAGCCTTGTTTTAAATTTTTTTTGTGACTTCAGAGCAACAGACTCTGAGTCCCAAATATGGTCTCATTAGTGCCAATGTGAAAATAGAAACTCATTTTAAATACAAGATTAAACAGCTCTGGAGAGGTAGAACATTTCCTAGCACATGCCAGGTTCTTTACAGATTATATCCCAACTCATTTAAAATTCACATCAGAATTTTTAAGTAGGTATTATTACTGCCACTTAATAGATAGTAAAACCCAGGCTTGGAGAGGCTGACAAACTTGTCTGAGGTTATAGAGTGAGTAAATGGCAGCTGTGGATTTAGAACCTAAATATATTTAAATCTAAATCCTGTGCACTTAATCCTGCACCATTTGGCTTCCGTAGCCTGGAATCTCAACAAGAAAAGATCAGGGGCTTATTTGCTTCATATCTTAAAAACTCCCTGGAAACCACTGTGTACTCTCCTAAGAATCAAAATTCTACTAATTATAGTAGTTAAAAGCACAAAGTACCAGCAAGCACTTACTCATCAATCAGAAACCAGCCAGCCTATATATTAGATTTTTATTTCTTTAAAACAGAAAAAAACAATAACAATTCTTTTAAACTACCAGCATGCCTTTCCCCACCCGCACCCCCATAGACGGGGTTTATAAACTTTTTTTTTTTTGAGTCAGAGTTTTGCTCTTGTTTCCCAGGCTGTAGTGCAGTGGCACAATCTCAGCCCATTGCAACCTCTAACTGCCAGGTTCAAGCAGTTCTCCTGCCTCAGCCTCCCAAGTAGCTGGGATTACAGCCGAAAGTCACCACACCGGCTAATTTTTTGTATATTTAGTAGGGATGGTGTTTCACCACGTTGGCCAGGCAGGTCTCGAACTCCTCATCTCAGGTAATCCGCACACCTCGGCCTCCCAGATTAAAGGTGGGAGCCATAGTGCCTGGCCAGGGTTTATAAACTCTTGAGCAGCCTTTAAAACCCCAAATATATTGTATGTGATTAAAAAACCCTGTGGGATGTTTTCACTCAAATGCAGTTTCCTGGACACCACCTCTGGGATTCAGATTCAGCAAATCTGGGTGGGACCCGGGTATCCGCAATTTTAATAAAACCCTAGGTGTTTCTTTCTCTTCCTCCTTCTCTTCTCTTTAAAGGAGGGGCTGTTGTCCAGGCTGGTTTCAAACTCCTGGGGATCTCAAGCGATCTTCCCATCTCAGCCTTCCAAGTAGCTGGGACTACAGGCGTGTCACTGCTCCTGGCAACCCAAGGTATTTCTTAAGATACAGGTGGCCTCCAGGTGACACAAACATATTTATTAACACTCAGAGAGTTTTTAAAAATAAGTCAAATTTTAAAGTCTGGCTTGAAATGACTATAAGTATAAAAATTGTTTTTCTTTTGTGCCACATATATTCTAATAAAATTATCTGCCCTAAAATTTTAGTATCTGGGCCACGTGTGGTGGCTTATGCCTGTAATCCTAGATGGGGAGGCTGAGGTGGGAGGACTGCTAGAACCCAGGAGTTCGAGACCAGCCTGGGCAAAATAGTGAGACACTCGTCTCTAAAAAATGTTTAGTATCTCAAATAACAAAGTGGGAGAATGCAGCCTCCACCCTCAGTCAGCTGTGGTGGCTTTGAATCTTACACATCCCCACTATGTAGCTGGGGGGCCCTGGAAATGTCCACTTTTATCTCTGAGCCTCAATTTCCCAATCTTATAAAATGAGGAAAATACTACTCACTTTGCAGATTAGTTGAGGGAGTTGAATAAGGTAATAACCCAACAAACATTAGTCCTTTTCTCACGATGGGCCAGAATATGCCATCTGTACCTGATAGATGGTAAATGCACTTGGTAAAATGTACCAAGTAGAAAAGTGCCCTGTGCAGACTCTAAAATTCCACTTTTCTCTGAGGACAATAAAATGTGCAGACGAGCTCTCACTTTCTTCCTAGGATGGCCCTGCAGGTGATAAGGAGCTGGAAATGTTACACAAATTTACTTCCTGTGTTACAACAATTAGCTGTGGGATTCTTTCAGAAGTGGTTGTGAATCCCATCCCATCCTGATTCCATTCCTTCTCAAGACACCCCCACCCCTTTCTGGTTAGTACGTTATCACCAGGCTCACTTCCTCAGGTTCTAAGGAAGGGAGTCATTAGCCCACGGCTTCCCACAACTCCATCACACACACTTCAGAGTTAAAGAGCAGGGCCAGGCACGCTTCCCGGCCTTGGAAAACTGGCTGTATCTCTAATGGGGAAAATTTTGAGCTCTGGGCCAGGTCCCAGGTGCCCTTGAGCCGGGTAGAAGAGGCTGCCTGTTCCACTTCCTTCTGTGCTGGCCCCCACACCCCAGGACCTACCTGCAGCACCCAGAATTGGCTGTGTGTGGAGGTGTGGGCCTGAGAGTAAGCATGCAGGGCAGAATTTTCCCAGAGCTCTGGAATGCACCACAACC